GTATCTGAAGGGTACATAAAACTATAGTTTAATGTATGAGAAATCAAACAAGCCATTAATAGCATATGCTAATGCAAATTGGGATCATCTTCTTGATAACGAAGATCCTATACTGGATATAATTTTTTACTTGCCTGTGTCTGTGAGTTGGGAACCACGAAAGCAACGGACAGATGCAATGTCTAGTACAGAGGCATGTTTAGTACATGGCCTTATCGGACACGGTGAAGGAAATCACACACATTTGCCGTTTTCTCGATCCAATTTTGATCCAAAAAGACGCGACAGTTATTTATAACGATAACCAAGTTGTCGATAAGTTGACGGAAAATCCTGCTTCTCATAACCGCATGTTATGAGAAAACATGTTGACATTTGTTATCATTTTGTTCGATTTTTTGCTGCTGATAGCATCGCTGAAGTCAAGTACCTACCTACAGATGAAATGTTGGCAGATGTGTTTATGACAGGTTTATCATCCGCAAAAAAGAATTTGTCAGCATGTGATAACAAGTAAAGAGGCTTTCTGGAGTACAGTCCCAGCAGAATGGGCGAAAATTACTGTTGAAGACTCAGAAGCTGGTTAATTCAATGCCAAACAGATTGAGTGAAGTTCTAAAACAGCGTGGCTATCCAACAAAGTATTAAATTTAACCTTATATTATTATTTATACTGATTTTATAAGCTTTTTTATAACTGAACGCAGATGTTTTTGGGCCTTAATTTACTTATTGCGTGAGTTTCATCTCGTTATTTTGAAATTTAAGAGAATAAAAACTTTTAAGTTTTGTTTTTGCTTTTTGAACTTTAGAAAGTAAAAAATAAATGTATGTAAAAATTTTAATTTAAAATATATATGTAACATACATATACATATTTATGTCGTGCTTCTATATCACGTATCAAATTTCGTAAGGTGAACGCAGACTTTATTGGCTATGTGTATATATCAGTAACAAAGTATAAGATACGGAAATGACATGTCACCGAAGATAGATCGGCTGATAAATGTCTTATTAACCGATGTTAAATCAGCGATGTATTATCGGTTTAAGACATGTATAAACATACACCATATATGCACATATATATGATTGCATTATATGTGAAATAACTAATCTTGGAAGAATAATTTATGAGGACAACACATGTAAAAGTCAAATGTTGTGTCGCCGTAGACTAAACATTTATTTTACATTCTCTTGGGTGGTATTTATACTTATACATATAACTTCATATTCGAGTCGCCGGGGTATCTTACATTAAATCTGTTCTGGAGGAACTAGTACCGAATCTCAACACAAATTTACACAAATATTTTCAAGGGATAAAGTTTCAATGCAGATAAAGCTTTTTATGGACCTTGGCATTCATAAAAAAAGGATTTTTGTTTTAATTTCAAATGTTTCAAACCCATAAGTTTTTGGGGATAGATTAAGACTTCTCAACAATAATTCGGTACAACTGGATGTATTGCTGAAATGGCTTTTCCAATTTTTTGAACATTTAAAGAGTTGCTAACTTTTTATTAGGAATATAATTTATACCAATGGGTGAAGTTGCAACTAAATTCTTCTTCAGAAGAAGGTATTTTTAGAACTTGATTGTTTGAATGTTGAAGTGGAAATGAGCAGTTCGTTTAAAAAAGATAAAAAAAAACTGTTACTTTTCTCAATAAATATTTTATTACATTTTGTCATTATATTGAGCTTATATCAAGCTTATTAAACTTGAAATATATAAAAACCTCCAACGATTTCACTTAATATAACGTATTATAATTATTGGATTTGCGATTTGTATTGAATCTGTGTAATATTTGTCTGGGTATTAAAGGCACCCAAAACTTAAGTTTGATTGTGAACTGTGAACAAGCCTGGATATTGACACAACTTGGGCTCCAGTATTTCTTTCTTGAACTTTGCTTTCATGTGCTACAGAAGATTCGACTGGTTAAGACTTAGATACTTCCAATTTACTTTGGCCTATGTGAGAGCTACTACATTTGGAGTATATAAGCCATGTTGTTCTTTAACTAGCTGCTGAAATAGTTCGTATATCAATTATCGTGTGTGATTGGCAGAAGAAGAAATTGAAACGGAAGGTTTCATAGTTGAAACCTTGAAATATTTTAGACTAGATGCAGAGTCATGAAATAGCTTTTATAGTTGCCTATCAGTAATAATATATAAAGATTTCATTTTCATAAAAATCCATATTCACAGTAAGAAAACAAACTCTTAAGATAGCAAACACTTCTGCCTGAAACATTAAAGTACAGTTGCAAAGGACTTTGTGCCTTTATTTTTCCCATCAGTTTAAATTGTTATCTTTTCTTGTGTAGAATTGGCCCTTCTTTCCAATCTCTTCTTGAGGAAAGTTGTTATCAAAGTATATAATCTTTCAGATGTAAGTCTAATAATAAAGTCATTCAATCAGTCGTTTATAAATGCCTAAATTCTGAGATGCAGCTTTATAACTATTTTAGTTGATCTACTGGTCATCCTGTTTATTGTCAACTGCGTAGAATTTACTGTTCTTTACGTATTACTAATAAATTAATAGGTTCTTGATATGGGATTTATTTTTCCTATTTTAGATGAAATTGCTTCAGTCGGTCTAGTCTTGCCGGTCTATGGATTAGTGTTGGTTTATGGGAAACTAATAGAATTACTGGTGAGTGATCAGAGTTAAAATATAAACATTCAATGATACTAAGATGACTATTATTATTTTTGTATTTTTGAAAATGAACAGCTCAATTAAATATGGGATCTTGGTTGTATACAAACATCATAAAGAAGTCATTTGAAATTATATCACATCCTATAGACCCCAATTAAAGTCATATATAATATTCAGCTATTATTTTGAATGTATTGGGATTTCTGCTAAGGGAACAGATTATCCAACTAATAAGAATTCTCGCTAAGGCAGCAAGATATTCTTGTTTTTAGCAGAATTTCAGCAATTTTCGCTATAGGAGCATTATATTGATATCTTTTAAGGTAAATTTTAGATTTCAAATGATCATTTTATTTAAATTTGCTCTGTTTTTATACACACTTCTTAGTACTTTTAGTCCGTTATATTGGAATTATTTTCCTCAACAAAACTTTTTTAATCCAGATTTCTTAACATAAGTATTTAACATTAACATAGCTCTCTTAAAATAAATTTTTTAACATAACTTCTTAACATAACTTATTTAAGATAAATTGATCTTAACATAACTTATTTAATATAACTAATTGGAATACACTACAACATCCTATAGACCTAAATTAAAGTCATATTACGAACATCTATAAATTAATTAATACAAAATAGAATTCAAGTAAGTGGTAATATAAATAAATTCTGGTAGTCACTACAGTCACATTATTAACAATTCCATAATGCTGAGTTTCTCTTAAAGAGCTAACCAAGCGTGTCTCTGTCTAGCTCATATGGGTTCCGTGGCTCAAGGATATCTCGGGCAACTGTAAGGCGGACGAGTTTCCCAAGGCTCACTGACATGCATTTCTTAGTTTTTGATGTCCCACTTTCAACCTCAAAACTGGCAATCAAATCCAAATACCTGAGTATAGTTTAACAAAATTGGGCAGATAACCCTGCTGTCAGATTTCGAGATTGATCTGGCTCAAACTGGACAAAAAACGAATTAGTCAGCTAATTCAATTAAGTTTTAACCTGCTCAGATCTGCAGTAATCGGTTTTATCAGATCAGTGCTTACTAGGAAGTCATGCTATAAAATTGGATCTACCCTACAACGACTTTTGCTATAGTTGTGGATCAACAGATGAGGAGTAAGCCAAGCTGTGTTCCATCTCAAGTAGCGTCCTCAGTGTCCATTATTGGCTAGGAGAAGATGTAAATTCTTCAGAACCTCTTTTCTTACCGACCTGACTGCACTGTTGACCTGTAAATTATGGACTTTCTCAAATTTATAGAATCGTAAAGTTGGTTCACTTTTACCGGAATAGGGGAGTCGTGCCTATCGAAACTGCTCGCACTTTCACCTCTAGTCTGCGTATGTAGAACGCTGTTCCGCGATAACACAATTGGCTATTATTTGAACTCAAGTCGGTTTCAGGTATAAGTCTGCCATTGCACAAGTCTATTGGAATACCCACTCAGGTATATTTTTAAACTCGGTTTGTGATCAACTCTACTGTTGTTGAATCAACTGTTGAAAAACATTTTACTTTAATGAATCTCGTTTTCATTGTATATTTTTTTCATATAACTCGAAAACTCGAAAATTTTTATTCGATGAAGATAAATAAAAAATTCTTATTAAAAATTTGTTTAAATTTTTTGATAGTGGAAAAATTGCTTTATTACAAAATTACTTTATTATTTAAATTAGGCGTGACTGCCAGATGCTGAGTCGACAATATTAGTTGGTAAGTGCCAGTTTTCAGATATTTATAAAATATTAAGATTTTCCATTCCTTTATTGTCACATAACCTAGGTGTTATTTTATTATCTTCTTTAAAACAGTTATAAACCAGGAAGCTTTCCGTCGTCTTGTTGTTTTTCGCGGCATCCTATTATTTGAACAGTTAATTTCAACCTTTTTATTGGTCATACATTTTGTGGACACTTAAATATAAGTTCTCTGTGCCCGAACAGTTGAAGCCGTTGTGTTGAGTACGTTTTGATTTAGTTAAAAAATATAGATTTTGAAGTGTTAGGTATGTCCGACAATATATTACATAAATAAATATACATTAAATATGCAAATATATATCTGGGTCAATCACTTGATGAATATAGTAGCTGCCTGTTATTTAACCAGCAGTGCTTGACCAGCAGTGCAACCAATACTAAAAACAAGGAGAAATGTTCTACGCCATTTCTCCAAGATACAGTGCTTATTGATTTCTTAAAAATTTCGAATCTCGTCATCGTTGTATAGTATATAAGTTTTTATATGAATTATAATTCAAAAGTTTTTATTCGACAGATGCAGATAAAAATTTTATTTTTAAATATGTTTAAATTTTTTGATAGTAGAAAAATTACTATACAAAATTACTTTTTTAATTAAATTGGCCGTGAGTCGACTTGTACCCGCTGGTGAGTGCTTTCAGATATTTATAAAATATTAATATTTTCTATTTTCTACTAAAAATTCTATTTCGCTTAGATGTTCTATTTATGTAGGTATTAGAATTGTGGAATTCATTGAAGGTAATTGAATCCTGAAGGTAATTTTATTCAAACAGTTTACGGACAGTATATTTGTTCATATATGAGTTATAATCGTCTATTATATGACATATAGTTTATTAATATTCACATTATCTGAAATATTCATAGTTAAGTAATATTCGCATATATATTTTCTATACAACCAGTTTGCTTTTCGTCGTCTTGTTGTGTTTGTCGGTTCCTTTATGCTCATTACTCTTTTTGCAATATAACTTTCGTTTCACCTTATTAGATGACCAAATTAGGTAATATCAGTTTTCACATGGACACATTTGAACAATTTGGATTTTGTTTACACGTATCTGAAAAAACTATTAAAATGTTCTATAATACTAGTGAAATTAAAATTTTAAATATTCTTTTAAAGTTTAAAAGCAGCTTGGGCTGAAATAATTCTTCTTTCAAATTAAATGCACTAAGATGGACAGATTTTACGTTCCAAAAAAAGTTAATCGCCATGTATATCATGCGCTTCAGGATTTGACTTCGGTCCAAGGCCTTAATGAGATCTTAAGTGAATCTGTTCTCATAAACACTGTACTCTATCATATGAGGAATTTGGTACCTGTAAGAGGATTAAGGTTTTACATCAAAGTCTCTATAAAAAATATGGAATTGATGAATATCATTACACGTATTGATAAGGATACACTTCGTTATAATTGTGATCCAAGGCGTAAGTCACAAATCTTACTTTCTCAGCAAATCGATCCAGAACCAAATGTGATAATTCCCATGAATCAGAAGAAGAAAAGAAGACGTCGTGGGTATAGGAATTTATGTGATACTTATAAATGGAAAAGAAGACAAAATGTATGTAAGCGGAAACCTAAGGAAATATTTTTTGGTAATGATACATATCATTATCACATGCCTACAAAAGTAAGTCAAATTTTAGTTTTAATATTGATGACATATTTTCATATATTAAGTTTCAATATCTTCTAAGGGTGTGCAAGCAGACGATCCAGTTGAGCCAATGGATATTGACGACGTCTATCTTTCTGCAGGGTATGAAGTGAACGCAACTTTTAATAATGTGGGTCAAATTTCACCTTCGAATGTTGCAAATAATCCGAGAAATAAAGAAAATCGTCGCTATATTCGTAGGCGCAAATGTTTATTGAGTCCTTATAAATGTACAAATACACAGAAACCACCTAATCAAAAGTCAAAGAAGATAGTTTACTGTAATTGTGCAAATCATCACTTCAATACAAATGTAAGGGAAATATGAGTATTAAGTTGATGACAATATATTTTAAAAGTTTTTGTTTGTTTTGAGGGACCGAATGTAGAAGATCCAATTGAGTTCGTGAATGTTAACGATGTCAATTCAAATGTAGATCAGGAAAGAGAGTCACCACAACCAATGGACGTGGACTACGTCGGTTCCAATGTAGATGATATATTACAATTGCCTTGCGATAACAGTAACTATATAAATAATGAATCATTTGTCTTAAAACTAACACAACAAAACAATACCAACGTTCCAGTTCAGATGAGACCCAATAATGATGAAGGAATAGGAGCTTGGAAATATAATGAATTCAAGTACTGTCGTTACAAAAATATTATCAACGAAACTCCATATCATAATGATCTGCACGCTATAATTCATGATGACACTTTCAACAACGCAAGTTTACGTCAAAAAAGGAAAGTTAACGGACGAAAAACTGTGTAAAAGTTTAAACTTGAAATGCGGAAAAAATTGTTAAAACACAAAAATCTGATATCCAGTGTCAAGATAGCGAAGTAAAATATTTACCTACATGCTTAAGTATTACAATATTTGACAGAGGAAATACGAAGGAATATTTTGCAAAAGATATTCAAAATTAATGGCGACTCAACAAGTAACGTGAAATCCAGCAAAATTCTAACCAGAAATATATTGAATATATGAAAGATTCTTTAGAATAGTTAACATATATATATTGTAAGAAATCGATAGATATGATATTATTTAGATTCGTCAGCTAAATTTGTTGGTGTCTCATTAAATCTGATGTATTAAATAAATTATCTTGAACACAATCATAATTGCGTGATGTTATTAGTATGTATATGACTAAAATAACTGATGGACATTGTTGATACGACTAGACTTCCGAAAACAGTGGCGTTTCGCAATAAAGAAATTGAGAAACAAGCCAGGCATTATTCTAAGTAAATATACAAAAGTGGTTGTGGATTTGGTGATTTGAATGAGCATGTCTTTTGTGGTCTTTTGTGGTCCCCAGCTGCTCGGATTGCGTGACCTAGACAGATGAACTGGTCTATAGGTTTTCTTTTGTTGTTAATGTTAAAATTTTCCAAGCTTCACGCATTTATTATCATTACCTTCGTCTTCGTTCTATCAAGACTGACACAGTTCGATATTCTTCGTTTTTTTCTATGCCACTTTTTAACGACATACTTTCAAGGACACAACCTTGTCTCACGCTGGAGTAAGTTTTGTATGGTTCTGAAAACAACACAGGCATATTCATATGATTTAAGTTGGCAGCCATATTCCTCGTAGTGTGCTTTGATAAATGATATAATATTTTATATAGCGTTTTCGAAATTTTATTCTTCTCTAAGCTGTCGAGTCAGATTCGCAAATATGTTCAACGATGTGAGTAATGTAAGAAATTTATTCACTGATTTCTTAAGGTTGAGTCTAGTATTTCCGTAATCGGGTTGAGCAAGATGCTGGAAAACATCTTTAAGGGTAAAAGACATTTATTTACTGTTCAAAATACCACTTTCTCATAAAAACGAAAAGAGCGGATGTATTGGCTCAACTATGTCTAATAGATATGCTTTTAGTGACTCTGGTGGAATGTTATCAATGAGTGATAATTTGGTGTTTTTCAGTTCCAACTTTTACATTATCTCAAGTATATACCCTCCTGTTTAACAAAAGATTTATAAGAAAAAATTTTTCATCTGTCACGCAATTGACTTTTGCGTGATTAACCGCTGACTTCTTTGTGACATATAGAGAGTCTAAATTTACCAAAGTGTGTAAGACATAACGAATAAATTTGTATGCTTTTGTAGTAAAAAATAATAGAAATCGTAGTTCACAGGTGGATCGTAAAAAAACGACGCTTGATTTATAGATAATGCCTGTGCAAAACAATGTTATTGATATTATGAAATCATTCTATATAAATCTTATTATAACCGACTTTATGATTAGGCTTGTTTTTAAGGTAAATCTGCACCTGAAAAATGATATATATTATTTTTTAATAAATATTTTTCCTTTTTATATTTTTTTTATTTACATCGTTAATTTATTTCAAAATCAAATTTTTTTTATTATTTTTTAAAACACATTTAGTGCAATTGATGACCAGTTTAAGCAAATATATTATTTTTGTATCACCATAATAATGTAGAGGGGTTCTAAAATGATAAGAATGTGCGTTAAGTAATACTTGAACGAACGGCTTCTTAGTTTTATAGTAAATATGAAGCAGTTGAGAAGATATAAAAAACATTTTCCAAATAAAACAAATCGATCAGATAACTAATATTATTATAATATAAA